AAAAAAAAAAAAAAAAAAAAAAAAAAAAAAAAAACACTCGCACTCTCTTCTTACTTTTGTTTGAAGGACGACTACATGTTTAATGAAACAGGCCCTTAAACTAACACTCACACTTTGCCATTCAGTTTTGTACAGATGACCACATCCTATCCAAAACTGGCAACTTAAATAGCTGAATACCAAAGACTCATTTCGACATCATTCCTGTGCCTATCACAGCTTTTAGTGAAGAAAGGCCGATTCCATAAAAACCCCAACTATATATAATAAAACACCAAATAATTTGATCACCCAACACATCTATAATCCGCTGCACACTATATACTCTTTTGGGCCGCCCCCACTAAGCAAGAAAAGTTATTGAATCCAGCATTCTACACTTCAAAATCAACACTCGTCAGTGATACACCGCCGATCCACTATACATGCCAGTTCAACAGCTAAAAGACAGAACCACTTCCTCTAACAAAAAAATTCTCGAAATCACTAGCAACAATGAAAATTTATTTCATGTTCTGAAATTACTACACAATATTCATTTTAACAAGTCAAAACTTCTATAACGGTTCCTGAGCTATCTGAAACAAATTATTATTTGAACCAAAATTTTACCATAAATGACTGACAGTTAAAAAGTTTTACCAAATAGCTTTGACTTGAACGAAATTTTGAGTGGAGCAAAAAAAGGAAAAAGAAATGGAGAATACAAATTTTAGAAACACTGTACTCACGATGATTTAAATTTGTATGAGCGTCCTTAAGAAAACTCGGCATGATCTAACATGTACTCGACCACTTCAAAGCCAAAACGATCATGAGCCTCTAAAAACGTAAAATAAAATTAAAACTCTTCAAAAGACCGAATCTTATGTAGAAAACTCATTTTATTTCTAGAATTATCTAATTACTTAAAGACTAAATGCAAAATAGAACAGATAAGAAAGGTTACCTTTAACGGGAATGACACTTATTGTGCCCTCCACGCGGCAGGTCATATGTACAGTCTTGTCGGGCATCATTATGCATTCAAGAACCCTACGCCTTTGATTATTTTCCTTCGGAATGGTCGCTTCAGCATTACCAGACTGACGTTTTTTAAGCTAAACTACATATTATCAACGTTAAGCCCTTTTTAAATGTAAAGTGGAGAGAAGTATAATAAAAAAACTTTACTCGCGTTAGCTGCTTGGCAACACGTTTCCGATTCCTGCTACGCGGCGCCTCACTACTGTTATTTGGATGGGACTTGCGACTACAACTCCAAACACTGCTTTTAAAAAAAACTCATCACTTACAATAAAGCATGATATTGCTTAGATAAAGCTGGAAAATGAAACAAACGAGAGAGCACTCCACAGAAACATGCCTATTCTTTGTTGCAGTGCCCTTCTGAATGCTGGCAGACAGAATTTTCATCTCTGGGTCTTCTAGAACCTCTCTGGCAAGATTGTCTTCCGTCTCCTAGCAAGTGTTTTAGTTTCACTACCAACAAACTACCAAAATCATTTAAAATGAAGTTGGATTTACCGGCGGAAAAGACTTTTGACCACTCCGCTTCGATTTTGCAGCTGCCAGCTTCAGTTCTTCAATAATTCGTCGCTCACGATCAATATCCTTCTTATGGGTCTTACTAAAATTACGTAGTGCCTTCTTAGCTCCATTCAAATTACCTTCTGGCTCCCAAGTATCACCGTCTTCGTCATACCCAAACCACCTAACCTGCAAAAGGGACTGACCTCCCACCAACCGTCGATTCATCAATTTCATTAAATAACGCAAGTTAAAAAAGAGAATTTTATACAAAAAATTATTTGTAACGAATTACACTAACGAAAATCACAGTTATGTCGTTTTAGTGACAGTAACTGCACTCCACCAAAAAAATTTTTATTACGAATCATTTAAGTCAGTTATGATGGAAAGCTTGGTCTTGCATACAATACAGGAAAAAATTTGTTTGAACTATTCATAGTAGTTTCATACTTTATACTTCAAGATGCCTTCATTCACAAATGCTTTAACATCTAGAATCTTCTCTATTTCGTACTCCATCTCTCCAACGCTGGAGTCACAATCCTCCTGTAGGAAGCGATTATTATAAAACAAATAATGACGGAAGAATACACGAGTAAAAAATAAGTAAGAATTTGATGAAAAAGAAGACTTGACCTCCCAAAGCAAATTTACCTGCAAAACATGATCCTCGCTGATCTGCGGTTTTTCCTTCGCAGAAATCTGGCCACTCTCATCAGCCTGCATCTTACCTACAATTAGAAAATTGAACTGTTAACATTCAACTTTTAGGAATAAGCAAGTATACATGCATGAGGTGCATGTATAAATTTACTGTATGAATGAAATTACCGGGTTAAACGGTGAGGAAATGGCTTTGAGAGACACCCAAATTAGAACATGTCAAAAACAACAAGCGACGACAAACACCGGGAAATCGATGAATATGTGAAACCTCGGGAGAAAGCGCTTAAAAACGGTAACGTTACTTCCAAATATCGTCTTAATAAAACTTGCTAAACATTGTTTTTCTGAGTCAAAAAACGTTACGAACTGCAAGCTCTATATAACAAACAAAACATCACAAACCATGAATTTAAACCTTTCAAAGCAATGATCTGTTATCTTTAAGGTATGGAATAAGACCAGGAAAAATAATTGCAGTCATACAGTTTCTGCCCTTCATTACAGTAAAATAATAAATAGACGTTTAGATACGCGATAAATTCATTTGAGCGACTGAAATGTCAGCGATAACGAAGAAAAACAGGACCAAGACCTGCATTAGATTTCATAGTCCTCAGTGACTAATGCTGCTCAATCTAATAAGCAGGTACTTTTGAAAAGGCATTACTGCTTGACTGCTCCCCGCGTAATGTTGTCTCGTTGTTTAATTTGCTTATGTAAATTACAAGTTCCAAAACTGGGTTTCCGGAAAAAAATTTCATGTTAAAAACTGTAACATATTAAACCGCAGCTAATTCTTCAAACTTATTTCACTGCAACCATCACATCACCTATCAAACAAGTATTGCTTCGGTTTTTGGAAACTAAAGCTGTTTGACAGAACTCTTAATCTGACACTTAAAAGACCTGAAGTTAACCAACGAAAAGAAACCTAACAATTCTATAGCGATCCAGCAGTACAATTTAACCCCTAAAACTTGTTGTACTGCTGCAAATAGGACAGAACCTGCAACGAAATTGTCGAAGGGCATTAGAATAGAATTGTTTAAAGATTTTCATGGTAATCGCACGTTTATGCTTTTGCTGTAGATACTGTAGTAGTTCAGTGAGTTTATCTTACTGCGCCTACTTGCGTGTGGGAACACGCTGATTAGGCAGACGACTTTGAGGTTCGCTCTGTTTCGGAAAATTTACGGTCATCGACCGAAAAAACAACCGGGTTTAGTTTTAGTCTGATCATCGACTTTGTGTTTATTGAAAAATAATCCAAGTTTTATTATTATTTGTCTAAACATAGTTTACGAAAGAAATCAGGCGAAAGGAACGGAGGATGCCAACGATCAGTATGGTTTCCTTGGCAAGTGGAAAAGAACCATATGTTTTAGATACAATCTAAAAAGAAAAATATTGTTCAGTTCAATCGGAATTTTTTTTTCTTCTTTTGCTATACACACATCACAAATTAAACGTCTAACGGTCTATCTCCAACAAAGGTGACTGTAGCACTGAAAGAAAGTTTTTTCTGCCGAGGATTTTCAAACATACTGAGCAGTAGTAATACTTTCCATTATATTCGTCAAATCGTTGTTGTGTTTTTATAAAGCCTGGTAAACTTTTTTTCTGTGATTTTTGAACATCCGCCTGCTCTGGTTTTTGATCTCTGCAGCTGCAGTAGTCTAGCTGTTTTAACCAGACGGCATGCTTTTAAGTGTTGTTGAAGGCTGGATTTGTTAAAGTTTACCTCTGTGGGTTTCTAGAAGCAGGCTTTAAGCACGGCAACAAGCAATTTTCAAAGAATAATGAAGTCTAATAGTTAATGAACGACTCTTACAGCATCCT